GGGAAAATGGGAGGCCTGACGGCCGCTCAAATCACAGCGCAGTTTGCCTGGTGCTGGCGAGAGGCCGCCAGAGAGAGGGCAGGCGGAGCTGGGAGTCACTGAACTGCGGCTGGCGGGATCTCTGGGGAGGCGCGAGAGGCTGGGGCTAGGTGGGGATCGGGGGTGGAGGGGATAGGAGTGGGGGCGGGCCAAGGTGCAGAGTGGTGGTGGGAGGACGTGGCCAGGAAACGCCGGGGCGGCTCCCTAGCTCCCAGCCGAGGCACCCACTCCGGGTTGGTTATTAACGCGCTGGGAAGTCCGCGAGCCGCCCAACTTTCTTCTCTTTAATGAGCCTAGAAGAAGAGGCTGCCCTGAAGGGGTTTGTTCATTAAAGATGTAGCTGGAGGAATATTGTCTCATTAATTATCTGGTTTTAATTACACTCCTACCCTTTGAATCCAGAGATGGGAAAAGTTGATTCAGTGGCGCCGCCCCCTTTAGCTTGAAGAGTCAGGCGGGGCAAGGGGACCAGGATGGGGCGGTGGGGACTTGCAAAGTGCCTGGAAAGATGGGAGCAGGCCTTGGGGTGTATGCAGCTGCCTGTGAATTCCCCATGCAAGAGGGTTCCAAGCCTGGGTGTGTGTGGATGAGGTCTGCCTGTGAATCTGAAAGTACGTGTGTCTGTGTGTGACCATGTGCACTTGAAAGGCTGTGTGGACGTGACTTGGGTGTCTATGTGTGCTCCCCGCCTGTGTGGGGTTCTGTGTTCGGGTGTGCGTGGGGGTAGCTGAGTGTGTCTACGGATAGGCCCCAGAGTGGGGGTCTAAGTGAACAGGAGTGTGACTGTGCGTGTCTAAGAGGGTGGCTTCCTGCCCATCAGCTCAAGTGACAGTGTCTGACCATGTCTCAGGGTCTCCACTGTGCCTGTATGTGGCCCCATGTGTATGTGTCAAAGGGGCACGCTTCATGGCTAGAGCATCCCAGGAGCCAGGACCTCTCCAAGGACATAGCTTGGTTTCTGAGGGTCCCCAGAGCTAGGGTGCCATCTGGAAACCACGGTTCTTCTGGAAGGGGAGTTATTTAAAGGGGTGCTCGGTCCTGCCTCGTCCCTTGTCAGGCTAGCTCGGCGCTAAAGCGGGGGCCGTTTTCCCTTTAAATCGCGGACACTTTGACAGGGGACATTAAGGACCCGGCTGCTCAGGCTGAGCAGATCATAAAACCGGACAGGCAATTTCTGCTCCCGCCAAATAGCCGGGCAAACTCGTTCTGCATCTTTGGTTTTAATGCACTAAACTGGCAGCTAAGCAGGGAGCGAGCAAAGAGGGGGTGGGGAGCCCCCCCACATACACTGGGGCGCACACACGGGCACCTGCACAGGCGCCAACACCCCTTCACACCCTCTCGACCCACGCCCCGCCCCTGACCCCCCACCGGTGGAATTATCAACTAGAATTTGATTAATATGCAAATCGCAGGCAAACAGCTCCATATAATTCTTTCAGTGGAGAGTAATTAATCACCAGTTAAAGCAAATTAATACATATATCAATTTTGTCAGAAACATGCTTAGTTCAATCGCCCGTAAAATTGAAGTTTGAAGTATTAAGAGGCTCTGCAGAAACGCCAGGACTAAAACTTTCAAATTGATCCTATTTAGTAATCAATCAGGCTCTCCCCTCAGGTTAATCTGCCTAATTTTTCATCTCAAATCATACACTTTACTGACACGCCATCTAGCAAACAGTCGATAAAAAGTTAACAAAAATGATAACGACTCCAGCCAGAGCCATTGTGCAGGGCGGGTGGGCGGTGGGCAGCTTTGATTGCATTTCTGGGGTGATTGGGGACTTGGTTTTCTCCTAGGCCAAGGGCTGGGAGCCCTCCCGGGCAACCTCGGCTTCCCTGCCCACAACCTTTGTCTGTGACTTGCTCTCCTCAGTTGCTTTTGGGCTCTGCTCAGAACAGTCAGAACCCTGACAGCTTTTCCCCCAAAGTCGCCTAAACCAGTTAGCTCCCTCGCCACGCCTTGGTTGCACAGAATGTCTGAAGGCACGGGTGTGCTTGTGGTAATTGTGGGCTGTGCCTCTGTCACTGTGTCTGTATTGTGTGTATAACAGTGGGTCTGGTGTAACTGTTTCACAGCAAAGGTTTCTCTGTTTAACTGTTGTGTGTGCTGCTGGCTACCTGTATGTCCATGCATGTGGTGTGACTGCACTGTTTCTGGGCATTCCGTATGTCTGTGTCCCCGTGGGTGTGTTTTGGGTTTCTGCATTGGAGTCTGTGCAACTTAGTGCCCGCCTTGTGTGTTTGCCTTGTTTCTAGGATATCCGTGTGACAGTGTGTGTCTGTGTTGTATGTGCCCTGGATTGGCCATGGCAGGCAGCCATTACCCAACAGCATACAGAGGACACCCCCCACCCCCGCAACCAAAAAAGCAAAGCCTGTGCTTACAGTGTTTATTCACTGCCTCAACTTCCTTCAGAGTAGACTCAGGCTCAGACTGAGGTTCTCCACTCCTCTCATGTGGGCGTGTGATCCCAGGGGGTCTGCAGGCAACCAGATCATAAGCGCCATCACAGACTTCAGGAGAGAGGGAACAGTCCCTATGACCCAGGCACTTCACTTTGAGCAGCCTCTGAGACATGGGAGGGGTCACTTCTTCTCCACCCTACCCTCCTTCTCAGGCTCTATGTTGAGGGGAAAGATAAGGAAGCGGGGAAGGTCTATTTCTTGGCAGAGGACTCCCAGCCCTATATCCCTCCCCACAGAGCCCTAGGACCCATTGCTTCTGACTTGAGTCCTTGAGTTTTTAGCACATTTGGGTTCAGATGGCACAACCACACCTAGATGTGGTGACAAATCTTCTCATCTCTATCTGTACATGCTGATAACTAAACCCACGGAGGCCCCAGGATACTCACAGGAGACTATTCTTTCTTCCCTGCCACATCCACATTTACTCACAAACAACTAGCCACATCCCACTCTCCATGAGGAAGCCTGCACATGTCTACTTGTACACACCAATGCACAGCAATCCCTGCACACATCACACACACACACACACACACACACACCAGATTCCGAAGCAGGCAGGACTCATTCAGTCCCGACACTGCCGGCAGCATCACTTACCCACCATCCACTATACACACACATCAACATTGCCATTTGTACCCTCCCCATTTGGGACAGGAAGGAGTCCCCACAGGGAGGAGTAACCTAGCTGGGGGAAGCTGGGCCTTCTAGGGCAACCTGGGACTGGTATAGCCAAAGCCAAATTGCACTAAGGTTTAGCCTGGGGACCAACTTGAGTAGGAGGGGGCAGGCCGTATCCTAGCCATTACCCAACAGCACACAGAAGAAACTCCTCCCCCTCAACCAAAAAAGCAGAGCCTGTGCTTATAGTGTTTATTCACTGCCTCCACTGCCTTCAGAGTAGACTCAGGCTCAGACTGAGGTTCTCCACTCCTCTCATAAGCCTCCCTCCCTTCCGATCATGTGTTCCATTGCTCCCCACCCCACTCCCACCTCCACCCTCCCCATCCCCCATCCCCCATAACTCTAAATTTGAGAATTTGAGTAGCCAGCTTGTCAAGCTGTTTGGAGCTAGGATTCTGTTGTTTGCAGCTTCAGTTCCACATCAGTGTTCATTCTCTCGATTATCTGTTCACACTTGATCCCTGCACACATCACACACCCAGAGCAGGATCACTCACCCACTGGTCACTCCCACCCCAGTGGCAGCTTTACTTCTTTTCTGTCCATTGCACAAACTTAGTCACACCTAGTCACACACAGCAGCACACACTCAGTCACCCCCAGTAGCACATGGCTCTGTTTCCATCAGTCAGCTGTGCATGCCTAGTCTCTCAGTTGCACACGCTCTCCTGATACACTCAGTGACACACCCTGTTGATGCTGGAGACCCTGGCCACACACACACACACATACACACACCCTCAGCCCCAAGGTCTCCTCCTGGACTGGCAGCTGTTAGTCTTAGTCACCAAGGTGACTTGCTGATGGCAGCCCTGAATCTAGGGGTGCAGAAGTGGGGCCCCAGGAAGACTCAGGTGGGAATTCTCCTCCATTCCGAGAATCGCTCCCCGCTCAGATACATGCACAGGCCCAAGACCACCACCTTCCTTTGCTCCAGTCCTGAGCCTCACCTTTGGCAGACACTGTAAACCCACCCAGGATCGGGCTCCCAGCTCCCCCAGGTCTGCTGACTTCTGCCCAGGACCTTATTGGCACAGGCACACAGTCTAGGGAAGCATCCAGTTCCCACACAAACCAACTATCCATAGTTCTACAGCCTAACCATCACCACCCAGCACACCCACAGACTCCTCCCACAGCTGATCAGGGTCCTCTCCACCTTACTACTGCCGCTTCCGACCTGCTGACCCTCAATACCCCAGTTTGCTCAGATGCCGGGGCCCCTCACCCACATATCCTGCAGCCCCCACCCCTGTCCACTCTGGGCCCCTCATCTAGCCACGCCCCCCTACACCTGCGCTCCCTTAGGCCTCTTTCCCAGGGGTGTGTGTGTGTGTGTGTCTGTCTGTCTGTCTGTCTGTCTGTGTGTCTGTGGAACATCTGTATTCTCAGCACAAACTACTTTCTGCGCCCCAAGAAAGAGGGTTGGTTATTGGGGTAGGGAGCAAAATCAAGGTGCCCCTGGGTTCCAGCTATTGGAGACATGCAGGGCGGGGTGAGTGGACTTCCCTGGACCTGGAGGCTCAGAAGGGTGGGGAGGAGGGGGTCCCCGCAGCGACTGGCAGGGGCGGAGGGGAGGCGCGCGGCCCCAGCCCGTCCCTTTCAGGGGGGACTCATGCATCAAACTTCAATTTTCCGGACGATTGAATTAGTGATTTTTTTTCTCCTGAACTAAAATACACTTAAGTCTTTGGGATTAATTACCACGTTCTGGTCCCTCAGACTGGAGTATTACTTATCGGAGCTGCGTCTGACACCGGCCCGACACCTCGTAAAATAAGGAACTGCGCCTCCTGGTCTCACCCGGCGCCGCCCGCCGGCCCCCCGGGCCGGGGAAGGCGGAGCGGGGGAAGCAGAGGTAGCCGAATAGCGCAGAGGGGCCCAGCTGGTCCTCGCGCCGCGGGGTCCCGGACCGGAGAACAGAACCTGCCCGCGTCCCGGGACTTGGCAAGCAGGGCCGAGGCCCCAGACTCAGCTGTGAAGGAAGAGGCAGAGCCAGGCCGCTTCTTCAGGGCAGCGGGGAAGCGAAAGTGGGTCTGCAGAGAGGCCAGAATCCTGAACACGCAAGCCCGCGACGGCCTCGGGCAACAGGGCTAGCGGCCCGGAGGGTCCCGAACCTTAACGAACCTCGCCCCGAGACTGGGCGCAGGGCCCACAGCCCCTCACACGATCCAGGCCACACTTGCACGTACACTCACTCTCGGAGAATAAACACAAAATGCACGCGCCCGGCCCCCACAGAGCGCACACCGTGAACGCACCACGCACAGCCGCACCCGAGGCCCGCCGGGCCGGCGCCTGCGAAGACCAGGGCCCGCACTTGGGTTGGAGGGCCTCTCACATCACGGGTTCTTGCTGTAGCGCCCGAAGCTCGGCCAAAGCCATCCCAGCGCTCCGGGAGGCGCGCGGGTAGCTGCTCTCATCGGAGCCGGATTGCCTGGGAGAGGATGAGCTAGAGCCCAGGCCTCCCTGATCCCAGCTCCTCCCTCCGGTGCCCAGACAAGTCCCTCAGCCCTTGCCCTCGTCGCCGCCGCCTCCCTGCGCGATGGGGCCAGGAGACTAGTCCCACACCACGCTGCCCGGTCGAACAAGTCGGACCTCCAAGCCCACGCGCGCTGTCAGCGAGGCTCCAGAAGCCCACGGGCAGCCTGGCGGAGGCACGGAATCCAGCGCAGCCGAGAAGACTGCGCCGGGGCGGCTTGAATCCGCTCCCCAAACGGTGTGGGACCCTGTACGGCGCGCTCTCCCCGGGCCTCCTTGGGTTCAGCCCAGGGCTCAGCGTTCGCCTCTCTCCCCTTCCCTCCGACGACTGCAGTCCCTCCTTCCGCCTGCCTTCTCTCTGGCCTATAGAAACAACGAATTCCTCCTCGTCTTTCCAGGCCTGGGTCCAAAGCCACCTCCTCCCTGAAGCCCCCTCTACCCCGAGCCCGAAGTCTTTTCTCCGAGCTCTGCAAAAGGCGCTTCCCTGCCCCTCGGCCCAGTCCCCTCTGTCTTCGCTGGGGGTCCCGTCCGCTAGACTGGGAGTTCCTTGAGGGCGGGAACTGGAGCTGATTCGTTTCCATTTCCCCAGTCCCCAGCGTGGCCTGGTGCAGAAAAGACGCACAACAAACATTTGCTGAATTGAATGGCTTTTCCCCTTTATTTTATTAATCCTTCCCCTTCCTTCTTTCCTTCTTTTCCTCCTTCCTTCCTCCCTCGTTATTTTTTATTTCTTGGTTATATTCAATTGTCATGTTTTTCAGGCTCATTAAATCCATTTAGAGACAAAAGAATAAAAGGCAGAAGGGGAAGGAGGGGGAGGAGGGAAGGGGGAGGGGAGGGGGAGGCCAGGGAAGCAAACAAATAACCCGCTTTAACTAGACGGGCGGATAAATGGCCCCGTTTCTCCTCAGCCCCGATGCGCCTGCTTAGCTGCGCGCCCCGCGGGCCCCGCAGCTCGGGTGGGCTTAGCCCCGGGGCCACCGCCCCCAGCCCGAAGGGACCCAGCACGGCCCGGCCCGGGGCCGCGAAGCGGGGAGCGGCCTGAGGTGCCAGGGCCGCTTCATTGGGATTCATGGGCGTGTTGGGCGGGCGGCCTCGGGCGGCCTCGGGCTCCGGGCGCGGGGCGGGGGCCGGGCGGGGGCGGGGTGTGCACGGCGGGCGCAGATGCCCGAGTGACCGCCGCGCCGCGGTCCCTGCGCCGTCTTTGTGCCGGGGAGGCGCGCGCGGGGACCTAATCCATCAAATTGTCTACAAATTGTGAAGAAAATTCAAAAACCATATGGTCGCCAGCGCCGGCGCGCTCTGGGCTGCGGAGGGCCGTGGCCGCGCCCGCACCCGGAGCCACGGGGGGCTGGGCCCGGCTATTGTCGCCTGTCAGCGGCCGCCCGGGTCCATTCGTCCCGGCCTTCATGGTCCGCGCTCCGAATTACAGACCCATCCATCCTGTGAGGGCGATTTATGTCGCCCGGGAGGAACCGGCCTCACGCCGGCCCGGCTGCCCGGCCGGCTCTTTCCTTCTTTCGCTCTCGCCGCTCCTCTCTTTTCCCCATTCCCTTTTTCTCTCTCCGTCTATTTCTCTCTGTTTCTGTGTGTAGCTTTTCCTCTTTCTCCCCTCGTCTCTGTGGCTTTCCACTTTCTCGATCAGATTTTGAAGTGTTTTTTCTGTTCTCCTTTTTCTATTTTTCTCCCTTAGTTTCCTCGTGGACTCGCACGTTCCGGATTCAGGCCCCGGGGCCCCAGCGCCTGCCCGAGAACAGATGCGCATTTCTCACATCAATTTTGCTTAGATAGAGAGCCGAGTGGCCTGGAGGCGGGACCTTCCTCTAGTGACAGCGGCCACTCGCCAGCCCAGTGATAACAAAAGCCCAGAGAGAAACCCGGTCCATTCGGAAAAGTGAAAGCTGCCCCTGTTCCTGCCCCAGCCGCACTCGGGGGGCTGGGACACCCCCACCCCACCCCGCGCAGAGTCCTTGGTAGATTTATGTCTCTGTCCCCAGCAGCGTTCGGGGCCCAGAATTTGTGAGCGTTACCAGAAATTCATCCCAACTCACAGACGCCTCGGGCTCACATCTTCCTGTGCCCGTGTCAGCAATTTAGTCTGCCCTCGTGCCTTTGGCTTTATTTTCTTCCCTCCCCCAAGGCTGAGGCCCTCTGGCGAACCGAAACTTGGGAGCCCTCAGGCTCCACCCCGCTGTCCGACTGAGCTGTACCACCCAAGGCTTAGCCGGTGTCCCGGGGAGCGCTGGAAGAATACCCTTGGGTCCCGGCTGCGATGCACGAACCCCAGGGCAAGTCCCCCCACCCTCAGCCTTTGCCCCACATAAATTAATTTTGCACCCGTGGCACCCTCAAAGTACGCACAGATTTCCTCCCAGCATTGTACGCCTCACTTTTTACCCGGACCTGGCGAAGCCCGCTTCTCTCGCCCCCTCACCATTTGGTAGCTGCCGCGTGTTCGTGGGCAACGAGCGCCTCCTCTCTCTCACCACTTCCCCCTCACCCTTCATTCTCACGCCTGCCCCGAAACTCCTCCAAATCGCCAAGGCCTAGGCAGCCTGAGAGCAGGAGCCGAGAGACACCGAGCCTGCCGCGGCGTCACTGAAGAAGGTCCACTCATTCAGACATGGTCACCGCCGGTTCTAGTAAAATGGCAAAGACTTTATTTATCGGAGAAAGAGGCCTTAGGTACAGTCCGGGAGGGAGAGGGCAGGGCAGGAGAAGGGGAGTGGCACGCGGGACCCACCCTCATCTAGCCACCCTTGTCTGGCCAAGTCGAGCTAGGAGCGGGGCATTGGAGACTGCAAGACAGACCCAGAGCGCTGGAGGAGGTGGGGGGAGGATTTAGGTGGGCCTCCTCTCAGTCTCTGTCACATGCAAAGAAATTCTAAAAAGAGTAAAAAATAATGCTTGGACTTTGGGTTCCGTTTTCGTTGGTTGATTGGTTGTTGGATTTCCCCCTGCTTTGTCCCTAAGACCCAGACCCCAGTAGTCAGTCCAAGGCAACCAAGAGAGGGTGGGAAGGAATCTTTAAAATAACATTTCTGGGCATTAGGAGGCAGAAATGGCATCGAAAACAGACTTTTCTCGCGAGGGGTGGGAGGTTGTTGGGGGAGAAAACATTGATTTGAAACTTGCAAGTCAGGATCCGGTTGTCCCCCTCAGTCCCTTCCCACGCTGGGGGGAAATAAAGGCAGAAGGGAATAAAAGAAATCAACTGCAATAGGTCTAGGGAGGTGAGGAGGGAGAGGGCCGGTGCATTCGCCACATGCAGAGAAAAAAAAGTCGGGGCGGCCCCCACCCCCAGACCTCGAGGTTAAGTGTTTGTTACCCTCGATTCTGCCTCGCCCTCAGCAAAGCCGGCAGCCTGAGCTTTGAAATCAAGGAAATCTCCGAAACTTTAACAAATAAAAGAAAGGAAGAAGTCAGGCTGCGGTGGGAAGAACCCGGTATATAGGCTTAAATATTTATACAGTAGCCAGACAGAATTGCGCGGCGAGGGCTCCCGGGGCGGTGGAGGCCGTGAGCGGCGACCGGCTCGGCCGGCCAGCCCGGGTTTATTGCTTCGAGAGGGAAGAGGCGGCTGCCGGGAGCCGAGTCCGGGCCAAGGATGGGGAGAAGGCGGGAGTTGCAGAGGAGGTCCCAGCTCCCCTCGGCGGTCCGGCGGTCCGGTCCGGGAGGCGGCGGGCATCCGGCGCTCGGAGCCCGGGGGCGGTGGAAGATGCCGGGCGCCGCTCAATCGTCCACGTCGATTTCTTCGTCTTCCTCGTCCTCCGAGCAGTCCTGGCTGCTGGCTGGCTGGTCTGTGAGCGGGGAGGCTGGCGAGAGCTGCAGGGGCCCGGCGCCCGGGGCCTGCGGGGCGCCTGGGGGGAGTGCCGGAGAGCCAGGCCTTGACTTAGCCCTGCCGCAGCCGCCGCCGCCGCCGCCGCCCGCGGCCTCCGAGTTCTGCTCGAGTTCGGCCAGCGCCACGATGTCCATCTGCCCGCTAGGGCCCAGTTTCTTGGCGGACTCCACGTCGGCCTTCATCTCCTCCAGGTCCCGTTTAAGCTTGGCGCGCCGATTCTGGAACCAGGTGATGACCTGAGCATTGGTGAGGCCCAGCTGCTGCGCAATTTGGTCGCGATCGGCGGGGGACAGGTACTTCTGGTAGAGAAAGCGCTTCTCCAACTCATAGATCTGGTGATTGGTGAAGGCTGTACGCGACTTTCGTCGCTTTTTGGGGGTCTGCCGCTGCCCAAAGATGGTCATCCCGTCGCGGCCTGCGAGGAAACCAGAGTATAGGCTTGCGCCCGGGGAGAGGAGACCCCACCCCGGCCCTTACTCACCCCACCTAGACCCATCCGGCCATCAGTCTGCCGCTGTTCCCTTCTCGGATTAGATTCGGCCACCTGGACTAGAGCAAGCCTAGGCTACGGCAAGCCCCCTTCCTCCATCTCTCGTCTACCGGAAGTCCCTAGGAAAAATTGTTTTGATCTCTGCCCCGTCACCTGAGAGTTCGTTTGAAAGACCCGAGGTCGCTAGAACATGAGAGCCAGACAGGGACGCTCTGACTGGGTGTGAATGTTGGCTCTCCACCTCGTAGCAATCAACACGACTCTACTGCTACCCAAAAGGTCCCAGCAAAGGCTCTCCATTCCGCACCCCAGGTACAGAGCTAGGAGTGACCAGGCCACTGAGAACGGGAGGGAACCAGGCAGACCGCGGAGAGATCTTGGGTTCCCGTCTCCCTCCGCGGTCACTCGACTCTAGCCTATCCCGAGGTCCCTAGGAGACAGGGTTTGAGTCTGTTCCACGCATCTCCACTCCCAGTGGCAGCGGCTTGGGTTGGAGGGCCCTGACGACCGGCGTGGGGGGTGAGGTGGGCAGAGACACAGGGAAGTAAGCGTGGGACACACGGAAGAGGGTGCGGGGTGCTGGGCGCGGGGGAACCCAGTGGCGGCGCCTACCTTCGGCTGCCTGCAGGACGCTGACCTCCAGCCCCTTAAAAGTCTTGCTAGCGAGCTCCTCAAGCGCGCACAGCGGCGAGGTCTGAGAGAGCAGCGCGCGGCCCGCCAGGGGCAAGCCGCCCGGCGCGTGCTTGTCCGCGGCCGCCAGCAGGTGCGCCGCCCCGCACAGCGAGTAACTTCTCCGCACAGACGGCTTGTTGAGGATGTCCTCTATGCTGAACGGCGTCAGCGGCTTGTTGGAGTTGGCGGGAGGCGGCAGGTGGTCCAGCGGGCTGCGCCGCCTCTCCTCCCCCGGCGCCGCCTTGCTGTCCTCCTTGGAAGTCATCTCGGCCTCGCTTGGGGGCCCGGCCCGGGCGGCTCGGGCCTCGGGGACCCAGCCCGCGGGCAGCTCGGGCGCCGGACGGCGCGGCAGGCAGCAGGCGGGAAGCAGGAGGGAAGGAGGCCGCGCCGGGCAGGGCGCGGGCCGGGCTCGGGGCCGATTAGCGCAGTAGCAGAGGCGAGCAGAGCCGCACGGGGCCCCAGAAGGAGGGCGCTGACGCGGGCGCTGCCGCCGCCGGGGCTTCCAGCAACCCGAGGCCCAAGCTGGGGCGCGCCGCGCGGGGCTCCAGTTTCGCCAGCCCCGGTGCTATTTAAAGGTGTCAGGTGGCTCCGCGGCGGTTCCTGGCCCAGGGTCCTGGAGGCAGCAGTTGGAAGAGCCGAGGCGAGGGCGCCGATCCCGTACTGCGAGGGGAGGCGGAGAGATGGGGCAATTGACTATTGCTAACAAGTTAGCCTTGATCGAGGAGTAATCAATTATCTGTAGCGGCACTTCTCTCTCTTTCTCCGTCTTTCTCCTCTCTTCTTTCTCTCTGTTCTCTCTCCTCCCGTTCTCTCTCCCTCTTTCCCTCCCTCTTCTCTCTTCTCTGCTCCCCCCGTCTCTCTCCTTCTCTCCCTCTCCCTCGTCCTCTCACTCTCTGTCCAATGCAGGCGGCTCTAAGTTGGGAAGCTCATTAATTAGCGGGCCTGGGGTAGGAGGAGCCGGCTGGAATTAGCCTGCCTAATGCGCCTGTCAGTCCGGGCGCTGCGCCGCGCTCGGCCCGAGCTGTTTGTAAATTACATTAGCCGCGCCTTTATTGCACCCGAACCTCCGGCGACTGAAAAGCCGCCGCCCCCACCCCAAACTGCGAGCCGCGCTCCCGGAGCACCCGCCTCCCGCCGGCCTGACTGTGATGGCAGCGCTGGCCCGGAGATCTCGGGCTCTCCAACCCGGGATTTGGCGCCCGAGAAGGGCGGCAAGAGCCCAGTCGGGGAGGTATGCAGCCGCCGCGCGGGCCAGGTAAGACCGGGAGCCTGGGTGCGCCCCGTCGCCACCCAGAGCAGACTTTGTCGAGCTGAGATCAAGGACGCAGCGCCCCTACCCCTAGACCCACTTACCCCTCACGCACAGCCTTGGGCGACGCGCCTGGCGGAAGGAATCTGCAGCCTTCGGGGTGGCCCGCGGTAGGTCCGAGGAGGTTCTGCAGCCCTGGGTGAGGTGACACAGGACTCAGGGGTGGGGGAATCCCAGGGGTTGGGGGAGGAGGCCAGTCCGAGGATACAGCCTTTCCCAGCCGAGAGGTGGCGGGGGGAGTAGTTGTTGATAGCTCTAGGCACCTCTCCCCTGGCCGGAGCCGAAGCGACAGCCTTACCTCCTCCCGCAATTTTGCACACTCTTTTCGGGCCTCTGCTCTCCGGGCCGACTGGGGCCACGGCCCGTCTGGTGATCGGCGTCCGACCGAGGTAACCGGGCCGGGTGCCGGGGCTAACGGGGCAGGCTCAGGGCCTCCCCGCTGCGCTCTGCCCAGCCGCGGCCGGGGCCCCGCTGCCGGCCCCGCCCAGCCCAGCGCCCGGCTTGAGTGCACCACCAGGCCGACTCCAGCTGTTCCGGATGCGGGGCGGGGGGCCCAGAGGGGGCCGGGCCACGGCTAGGGCTGCGCTCTCAGGAACCCGCAGGGAGCTGGGGTTCGAGTGAGACTGGGCTCTGGCAACCCTATGGCCCGAACTGTGTGCGTATCAAGCGAGCATTTGTGTGCGTCGGTATTTGAATGTGTTTATGTGTTCGAGTATGTATATATATACGTGGTTCTCCATGGATATATTTGTGTAAACGTTATGTGAACTTGTGGGTGTTTGGGCATGCTTATGTTTTTCATTCCCCTGAGGCACCCAAGAGGGTTGTGCCCCTAGTTTTTTTTTCTCTTGAGTCCTTCCTTTGGTTCTTATGCAGCTACTTGCCCTGCCACCCTAGTTTTCTGTTTCTGCCCCCGTGGAAAGGAGGGGAGGAGGGGACTGGCTGCAGCTGAGGGAGGACTAGCTGCTGTCCTCCTCACGCACAGCCTCAGCCCTTTCTCTGGCTTTGTTTGTAAACTCCAGGGCAGGCAGCGCAGTCTGGCAGCCCTGCTTGGTCCAGAGACGGCTCCAGAGAGGCCAGTGCAGAGGACCATGGCCCGACTCAGAGGCTGGGATGGGAAGAATAGGACTTCTTGGGCTTCTTGGCCTGTCCTACCTGCTCCAGAGAGAAAACCAAGCTGGGCTGCGGGGCAGGGGACGGGTTCTTTTCCTGGATGCCTCTAGCATAGGGACCTCTGAGCATCAGAGATCAGTTTCTTTATCTCCCGGTTAGTTTGTTTGGAAAAAGACTCATAGCTCTCCAGAGTAAAAAAGGACAGTGTAGGGAGAGAGGATTCTTGTTTGGGACCCCAGTGCCTGCCCCAGGCCTGCCTGGTAGTGTTGGGAAGAGCTATTTACCCTTCCCCCATCTTTGTCCTGCATTTTGGGGAAAGGACAGGTACTTTAGAAGCAGGAATGGTGACAGTGTTCCCCCAGAGATGCAGAACTATCCCCCAGGCAGGCCAGTCTCATGCATCAGTGATGCTCTGAGAGCCATGAGGTGAGGTTGGGCCTGGGGTCAGAGTCCAGAGAAGGTGAAGAGGGACCCAAAGAAGAGGGTTCTGGGGAGCTGAATCCTGCTGGCTTGGAAGCTCTGAGATGGAAAGGGGTCTGCTGTCTCTCACTTTCTGCTCTTAGGATTCCACCTCACCTCTGGCCCACAGCCCATTCCTGCTGTAACCCCCAAAGCCATGACCCAGAGTCTCAGGCAAACCATATCCAGAGGAGGCCCCTCCACATCAGGGAATGGGGACTCTTTGGTCCTCATCCTCCAGAGGAGCTCTCACCCATACTCTTCCACCCCCATTCTTCCAGTCTGTTCATCTCTCCACACCTGACATTGGTCTGCAAGACAGGATCGCAAGGACAACCCTGTTCCTCCTGTCTCCCAGTCCCTCAGGACCAGCAGAGTTCAGGATTATTGTGAGGTTGCCAGGAAGGTGAGGAATGTGAATTGGGGAGCAGAGGGGTGGCAGCAAAGAATGCCTCCCCTGGAGTCTTGTTTCCTTGGACCTTCAGTCTATGGCCACGTTGTGTCAAAGTGCACAGGACATTCCGAAATCATCTCCTACAATACCCCTTCTAACCACCATCATCAAATCTTCTTCCCTTCTTGGCAGGTACCTGCTGTCCAATCCCAGGGTTTGGGGGTTTTTGGCCTAATTGGTTGTACTCTTGGCTGGCCAAACAGCTCTGGCCAGCATAGCTGGGGAATCAGAAGGCATATGGTGCCCTGCTCATTTTTGTTTAGGGTCCCCTAAATCCATCACCGCATCGAGATTATCTTCAAAAACCAGTCCACTGTTTTTTTTTTCCCCCAACTCACTCCAGACCCCAGTGATAGGAGGGTGGAATCTTCTGAACTCACGAGAGCCCAAACCCTTCTGCAGAGCTAGGGGCTATGTTTGGGGTTTGCCCTAAGCCTCATTCCGTCTCCTGCCAGAATGGGAGATCCCTTAGGGCAGGGTCCTTGATGTGGGGGTTGTCCACTTCAGACATTCACAGGCTAGGCAAGAATGGGGACACCCTCAAGTATTGGTTGAATGAGTTTTGTCAGGCAAATGGAGTATAGACAATTGTGTAGAGGGGGAAGGCTTGGGCTTTGGTGGTCCCACCTCAGAGGAGTTTTGGAGATCATGAGATTTGGAAAAGAAAGTAACTCCGAGACAGGTAGGGTAGAGGTTGGTTGGAAGGAATATGCCATTGCTCCAGGATCTCACCTTCTGCTCAGTCCCCTTCCAGGCATCCAATGCTGGATCTGGAAGGCTCCATAGGGTTCCCCACTTCCCAGTCAGCTGGGCCATTGTCTTCTCCCCGGAGTTGGGACCAACTCCGGAGTCTGTTCCACAGAGGGAATGCCTGTCTTCAGAGCCTGGTCAATATTGCATCCTGACTACCGAATTCCTGCTTGCTGCCTATACCACCAGGGTATTCCAGCCTTATTCCATCTCCACTGCAAGGGGAAAGGATTATTCTGCCCAGGATCTGCTTTTCCCCTAGTTTCCCTCTTCAGACAAAGAAGAGGGAAAGAACATTGCACGAATTGTGAGGATAAGGGGACACTGTAGACTGACACACAAGGAGTTATTACTTCATGGGAGAATAATTCAAATAAATCCCCAAAGACTCTGTTAGCTTTAATCCAGATTATTTTGGTAGCTCCATTCATTTCCAGATTATTTGTGTAAGCATCAGGTTGGCCTTCAGGCCAGAGCTTCCCTGAGAAAAAAAGTTCTGACATTGCTGGAAATGAGTTACCTTGACCACCAAGTGGGATCATTTTTGTCCCCCAGGGACCTGCTACTGTGACACTCCTCATGGAATTCAGAGAGTGTTTCTTCTGCTGTAGAAGCAGACTCCTGCCACCCTGGCTGAACCAGAACTGCCCACTTGGTTTTTATTTTCTGCCCTGGGCCACCTTCTGCAGTAACAACAATAATAACCATGACAATAAACACCATAAGCCCTTACCATGTGCTTGGCTTCTGGCTAAGAGTTTTATTGATTTCACTTATTACTCACAACCCTATGAGGTAGTTACTGCTATTACCCTGATTACATATAAGGAAAATGAAGTTAGTGACACAGAGAAGTTAAGTAACACAGCCAAAGTCACACAGCCTGTTTGGGAGTAGTTAGGACTTAAAGACTGGTTCCCCGCCCCCCCCCCCACCGCCCCGACTCAAATCTTAATCCTAGAACCATAAGATTTTTAACCGGAGCCCAAAGTTTCTTTGAATGGACTTTAGGGGCTCTGCAGATCCCAGAAATTGTGTGTAAAATTTTGTATATGAGCCCAAGTGTTCATATTTTTTCAGGGGCAATATTATATAACACACTGAATTCTCAAAAGGGGTTGGAGAGCCAGAAAAGGTTAAGGCCAGAAGCAGGCCAATAGGGGAAGGGAGAGAGAAGCTGCCTCTCTGCAGGCCTGGGGAGCAAGGAGCCAGCTGCTCTGAAATTCATGCCAGGCTCCAAGCCTGCTTCTGGACCTGCCCTGCTGTCTCTGACCATGACCAGCTCTCGGGACCTCTTCTGGCAGAGAGATGGGGGCAGGCTCTAAGACCAGGGCACTTTTTTAGAGAGCACCCTTCCTTCCTTCTCTCTTCTCACCTCCCCAACTTCGTTCATGAGCTGAACTACTTTAGAACCTAGTGACAGGTGGTCCCACCACATAAGCCAACCTCTTTCTGGCCCTTCAGTCCTGTATGGGGTAACTGATTGCCCTTTGGAAGTGTAGGGGGATCAACAGATCACTGAGTAACACAGACAGATAGAAATGAGGAAAGATACTCAAGGCCCAAGTGACCATATTCCTGCAACCCTCTTTTTGGCCCCAGGCCTTTGCTTCCTCCCCCTGAGATCAGAAGTAAATCTATTGCTGCCCCTCCTGGCACTTTTTTTTTTTTCCTATGCTGCATGCTTATGGGATTTTAGTTCCCTGACCAGGGATCAAACTTGGGGCCTGACAGTGAGAGTAAGAAATCCTAACCACTGGACCGCCAAGGAATTCCCTCCTGGCACTTCTTGCTGTTTTTAGTGCTCAACTCATCTTGGGGAAACTTTCCTGCCTGTTCTGTCCTCTGTGCCCCTTCAAACATTCCCCATGGAGACACTGTCAGATTGCCAGGAACTGCTGGTTGTTGTCTGTCCTTCTACCTCTCTCCACCTGGCTGTGAACTTGGGAACCTGAAACTCCTCTCCATAACCTGTGGCATATATGAAGAACTCTCCATGCATTTGTTGAATTAATAAACTAAATGAATGAGATAAAAGGGACAACTAGGCAGGGACCTCTGCCTGTGCCCCCTGAGAGACAGAGAATGGAGTAAGGGAAGGGCAGGTGCATTGTTTTTCCAGCTGCGTGCAGATGTATGAGGCACTCCTGTGGCTTGTACCTCCAGTATACAAAAGGGGCACAGAGACCTCATTCTTTAATGCTTTTTGGCCATGGGGGGTAGGGAGTGTCCTAAGTTCTGGACCCAGCTGTGGTATGGCCTGACTCAGGAATGGAGTTTGTTAACCTTCTCTCTTTAAAAAAAAAAAAAAAAAAAACAGGTTCCCATCCTATTTTGAGCCCAGAAGCAGAGAGGAAGAACAAACAGAAGGAGAGAGTTGGGCCAGTAGGAGTGGCAGGAAATATACCTCCTCCCCAGTAGCTCAGGGGACTATGCAGAGGGTAAAGGACAGGGGCCAGGGGTGGTGGGGTAGGGGGAGTAGTGTCTGGTTCTGTCCCCACAGGGAGTAGCATTTGAAATGAGCCATGAAAATCCAGAAGCACTGGGGTAGGTACAGAAGTGAGGACCACTTTCCTGGTAAGCAGAGAAGCTGATCAGGAAGCCAAAAGTGCCAACCCAGAGGGGGAGAAAGAGTGCCCCTCACTCCCTGGCCTGGGCATCAAGCTGCTGAGGTTGGTTAGCCCCCTGTGCACCCTCAGCAGGTCTGCAGCCTGGGACATGGGCTGGTGGGCTCCTGGGATGGTTGCTTGGGGCTGCAGGGGGGAGTTGGGGACAGGCTGCACCCCAGTTCTTGCCGGTCCTGGGTCCACAATAGGGGTTCCATTCACCATGCTGCTATGCCATCTATGGAAGCACCAAGAACTGATCTACTACTACTAAACCAACTCCTGGGTCCCTGAGCTCCCCAAACCGCTAATGGTGGTCAGGCTACCACAGAGGTCTCTGCCTGTGGGAGGGCGCCAGGCAGAGGAGCCTGGGCCAGGCCAGGTGGATCAGGAAAGGAACCTAAGCGGGGAGGGGCGAGTAGACTTAGGAGCCGGCCAGCGACGTGGTTAGGCGGGCTCCAGAAAGGCCTGAGTCAGGCTTCTCATAATAAACTGCAAGTGAATAATTCAGCAGCTGCGCAGGGGCTCATTGTATTAGCACCTCACCTTCCGATTGAGGGGAAGGGGGGGTGGTCACTAACGCGCTTGAGGAGGGAGCCAGATAGAAGACTCCTGGCCACTAGCATCCTGGGTTCTGCCCGGCCCAATCCCAGGAGACTCATTGGTCCCCCGAATCCCTGCGGCCCCACCGGTCAGAGGGCGCCTAACTGGGCAGGGCTGTCCCAGCGAAGCCGCTCTTAAGACCCCAGGCAAGAGAAAACAGGCAGCGGGACCAGGGCCAGAATAGGGGAGGAGGGGGCCCGCCCGACCTGTGGGCATGTGAGCTGCGGCAATGCCCAGTCGCGCAGAGAACGTGGGTGGGGTGGCTCTGAGCAGAGAGGAGAAGGCGGCTCCTGTGCTCAGAGCCTGGGTGCCCATGGGCTGCTTCGTCTGGGCCGGGATTTTCCTTGTGCTTAGATTGGAGCTCCAGGGAAGCTGCAGGACTTTTCACCCACGGTGGATCCCCAGGTTGTGCTTCTTCCCAACCCCCACCCCCACTGACCCATTGACCCACCCCCCCACCCACCCATAGATCCAGTTCTCGAGGCGGCAGCCCACCCTCCCGTCCCCACTTCGCGTCGGCCGGCACTGAAGGGAGCACCGAGGCCGCTAGGCCTGTTGTTCTCCGACTCTGAGACCCCATGGACTGCAGCACACCATCTGTCCTTCACCATCTCCTGGAGCTTGCTCAACTTCATGTCCATTGAGTCGGTGTTGCCATCTAACCATCTCGTTCTCTGCCGTCCCCTTCTCCTCTTGCCTTCAGTCTTTCCCAGCATGAGGGTCTTGTCTAAGTGCACACCACCTTCAACCTTATTTCGTTTGAGCAGAACCAGCTTCCTCTGGCTTTTCCACTTTTCACCAGCCCCTGGGTTTCTGATCTTGAGGATTCGCACTCATCCCGTCCAACATCCACTGCCGCTTGATTCCTCCGGCTCTTCTCCAGAACCATTCACTTCCAGGCAGTCGGCCCCGCCCTCTCTCCAGCAGCCTCCCCGCTCCTACGGAGTGAACCTCGGGCCGCCGGAGACCCTCGCTCTGACACCGCTGGCCCTTCGGGGCCGGCGCGACCGAGGCCCCAGTCTGGTCTCCGGGGGTCTTGGGCAACCCTACGAGGAGTCCGGCCGAAGGCACCTCGAGTCCCCCCTTCCCTGCTCATCCCTCCTCCCACCCCAGCATAATCCTCGTCTTCTGCCGCTGCCGCCTCCTCTTCCTCCACCTCTACGCATTTGTTTTTCTTGGTTCGGTGCCTTGGGCTTCCGGAGGCCAGGCCACTGGGGATGGGGCAGGCTGGAGTGTCTGCAGAGGCACGTGAGATGGACTGATGGCACCTGGACCCCAGACGGCTCCACCACTGCCCGGCAGTGTGTTCTTGGGTAAGTCTCTTAACCTCTCTAAGCCCTTACTGAGCAAAGGCCGAGAAATTTAGGGAGAGTGATGGATGAGAGACTAAGTCATTCGATTCGTTTGGGAAAAAGGGTTGCTTGCTTTGGGGCCCGAGGAAGTGAGTTTCAGGAGAATACTAGGTCCAAAACGACTATTTATTTTAACGAATATTTCAAGAGCAGCTGGTAGCTGCTTATTTTTCTTTTTTTACAGCTGATGGGTTCCCAGGCATTAGAAACTTCTCCAGTCCTCACCACATCTTGGTTTTACTGAAGAGGAAACTGAGGTTAAGACTGCGTCCTGCTAGTCAACTGCACAGGTGGGATTCGAACCTGCCTCCGTTTAGGAGGTGCTCCTAAATTTGAGCCAGGTAGCCTCCCTTGGACTAGCAAATCGAGCCCTCACAGGGCCGGCCACCACCTGAGCGAGGAGGGGTTGGGCTGAATCGCTAAGCATTCTCCATTTTTTGTGTGCCGGAAAAGCTTTGAAAAATTTTTCAGGTAAACGATTTTGGCCTGTCCCGGGGAAGGAATGGAAAGGACACCCGGGGTGGGGGGACCTCCAGCTTGTTGTGGGAGAGCCCTTCGGGTGGGATAAGTAGGGCAGCTCTTCTCCGAAGCAGAGCTTAGGTTGAAGCTTTCGCACCTGGATTTTTCCTCTTTCGAGTTTATCCATCTGCTCCGTCTGTCCTGTGTAGTCCACGTCTTCAGAAGACCACGTCTTGGGGGGGCGGAGGAGAAGGCACAAGGCCCCCCTCCAGGGCACAGGTATGGCCAGACGACACCCGAGGCTTTCACCCCCTCCAGGGCCGCCTCTCTGAGAGAAAGTCCTCCTAGCGGCAGAGGAATTGGCTGGGGGGAGTGGAGGGAGGCAGGCGGGACCGCTGGTTGGGCAAGGAAGGCTGGAATCCAGGCTCCCCAGCGACCCCGCCCCAAGCTCCGGCTGCAAGGTCGCGGCATGGCAGCCCCGACAGGCCACGCGTCCCTCGACACAAGTCCCATTACATTGTATTTATGTTCCACTTTATTGTTTTTTTTTTTTTCTCCTCTCATTATTGTCTCACTCTGGGGGAGGCAAAGGATATAATATATTCATCTTTATTATACCAAATCTGTGTGAAGCATTTAATAAAACGCTGTTTCCACACAGCCAGGGATTAGTGTGAGCTATTCTTAAGTTAATGCTCGGGTACGGAGGGCGCCTCCGCCGCAACGCCTGCTGCTGGCGGCCGGGGGGAAGCGCAGGCCCTGGATGGTGAGCCGGCGCCCACTCCCAGCACACGGTGCCCTTACCATACCGCCGTCTCTCAGTGGCCCCTCGGGCCCCAGCCTGCGGGAGGGGCTCCGAAACAAGCTCCCTCCAGCGTTTCTAACTCGCTGCAGGCCTCGGTCTGCGGCTATGAAAATGGGAAGAGAAATCCTATAGCCGCTTGCGTCTCAGGGCTCTGTCTTGGGAGGCTGAAGAAGCCGCGGGGGTAAACAGGACTTTATAAGCTGGAATGGAAAAAGAGGAGGATTTGTCAGGACGGGGGTTGATGGGGGACAGAGAGAAACAAGGAGGCCACAAAAAGTGATTCTAGGCAAAATAGACCCCTAGGCTGAACCCCAGCCCAGGCTGGGGAGCAGAGTGCAACTCCAGTTTGAGCAGAGGCCAGGTTTTGGCCTGCCTGGAGCTCACCCTGAGTCTGATGAACGTGACTGACCGGAATCAGGATTTCCGCCCCCCTCCACCCCCCCACCCCCGCCTCCCGAATCAGGATTCCCCCCCACCAATCAGGATTTCCCCCCCCCATCAGGATTTCCCCCCCTCATCAGGATTTCCCACCCCCACCCCCGCCCAGTCAGGATCTTGGCATGTCACAGTAGGTGACATGGTCCTCCCTGCAGGTAGATAACAGTCTTTGAAGTTCAAGTTACAGCTAGCAAATTGAGACTCAGAAGTTCAAGTGGCTTATTTGAGGAATCCAGCTGGAAAGTAGCACAGCAAATCGTCCTGTCTTTAGACTCCACTTCCCCCTTCCCCCAGCCCTCATGCTTGCCACCTCTCCCCTCAACATCTCCTCATCCCAGTCCTCCAGGGTTGTCCGTGGCATGTAAGCTTTCCCATTCTGTTTTCTACACACACACACACACACCCACACACACCCTTCCTGGGATACCCATGAGAAGAAGAAGCAGTCACATGACTTTCTTATCCAGGCCCACTGCTCAGTAGCTTCCCTGGTGGCTCAGATGGTAAAGAATATGCTTGTAATGCAGGAGACCTGAGTTCAATCCCCCAGGGAAGATCCCTGGGGCTGGAAGATCCCCTGGAGAAGGAAATGACAACCCACTTCAGTATTCTTGCCTGGAGAATTCCATGGACAGAGGTGCCTGGTGGGCTACAGTCCATGGGGTTACAAAGAGTCGGTCACGAATGAGTGACTTTCACTGCTCAATGTACTTTAGAACCCACTTGCCTTGTGTTTGTTTTTCCAGCACAGATTTGGGCACACCACCCTTCCTTTAGTCCCTTGTTCCCTTGTTCCAGGGCTATGGGAAAGAGTTGGGGGCAACCAGGCCAGGCCAAAAGGAGGTGTTGTGCAGGAAAGGATTGGGATGGGCAGATAAGTCCCCCTAATTAGAACTAACACCCTCCTAGAATTCTCAGTCCCCATCTGCCTCTATCCCCCCCTCCTGTAGGCTGCTGGTAGGAGCTTCTTTGGAGGCTAAGGGTACTTGAGAAATCTGACAGTTCCCAGCCTGGGGCTGGCTGGGGAAGGGTACCCACTCACTGTGTGGTAGGGCTGGGACTAGGATGAGGCAAATAAGGCACTTAGGGCACACAGTTTAAGGAAGTACTTGTTCTCAGTGTTGTGTACCAGACCTGAAATTTTGTGCTTAGGCATCTCACTTGTCTCATCCTAGTCCCAGCCTCTTTGTGGCCCCAGGGGTGGAATTACAATTGCAGTGGGGACAGAGAATGATTTCACTTTACCCTTATGAATGAATATGTAGAAGTATAAACAATGGAATGAACTGCCGGGGATGGGGGTGGGTGTAGGGGGAGGGCAGTGAGCTTTCCCAACAGGTGGAGTATGCTTCGAACCAGCTGAAAAGCTAATAATCAGTCTTATTGCCATCATCATATTCTTCATCATTTTTTTGGGTTGGCCAAAAAGTTCATCCCAGTTTTCCCATAACATCTTACGGAAAAACCCCAACAAACTTTTTGGCCAACTCAATTCCGTCGTGTATTTTGTGCCAAGAGCTTTACCCACATTATCTCAAGCAATGTATTAAATGTCTTTTGGCTGAGGATGGGTATTAAAGTCTCTGACCTTCTGGATCCTTTCCATCTCTAACAGTCTATTGTTGCATGAAATAAAGGACACGTTTGTTGATTTTGGTTAGTTAATTATAGTTCAAATTATAGTTATTATTTGAACTTGTCTTATGGCCTTTCCTAATGAGTAAGCTCATAGAGGGCAGGCACTATATCTAATCTCATTCCTTTTTTTTTTACCATTCCTTCTCCTCCACGATCCACACAGGACTAAGCATGTAGCACATGTTTAATAAATGTGTACTAAAAAAAAACACATGAGTAATCAAAGGCTGTCTGTTTACCCGGCCATTTGCTTTCCATACTGTGCCCATCAGAGCTATGAAGTGGCCCCTGGGAGAGCCAGTACCACCTCTGCAGCCATTGTCCCCCTTTCCCTGCAGCTGAGCTGAGTTCAGGCTGGCACTTATAAAGCCTCCTCCCCACTCATGCTCCCAGCTCTGTTCTCATCTGTGGGCAAGACAAAGGCCAGCCCAGCTTCCACCTGTGCAGAGGAGTCCAGTCTCATACTGAACAAGCCTCAGAAGAAACCATTTGGGTTGGGGAGGAGGCCTCTGGGAGATCAGAGCAGGCAGGGCCCTGTAGCCAGAGAAGCCTGTCTGGCAGAGTTGGGACTAGAGCTCAGTCTCGGAAGATGGGAAGGACTGAGAGGCTAGAGGGAAGAAATCGAGTATTCCAGGTTAGAGAGAGGGGAAACAGGGGCAAAAGGACAGAGGCAGGCGGGACTGCTCATAACAGTCTGGAGCACCAGAGAACTATACGTGGAAAAGATGTCTGTGGAATGTCTTGAGTGTCCTGACCCGAAGTCAGAGACTAGAAGTTGGGGTTCAGAAATCAGAGTTTAGAATTCCAAGCCCAAAGCCACAGTCCAGAACACAGCCTTGAACAGAACTGTCTTCTGGGTTGATGTAAGATGCCGTCATGGGCCCCATACTCAAGAGGCATGAGTGTCCTGGGTCACAAGATGGACTCTTGTGATTGGCTTGACCCAGGAAATGCAAGGCCTGGTGTGGGCCCAGAGCCAAGGCCCACCTGAAGCCCCATGCTCTAGGACTGGCATGAGTAGCTGTACAGGGTTCTCCCAAATCAGACCTTAAGTCTGGCATCATCTGCCACCCAGGAGCCCTGAGCTGGGGCCAAGAGTCACCCGCCAGTATATACCCTTCTACCCGTCCCCTTTCCTTTCCTCCATCCTCTGATATAGGTGGAATCTAGGGCTTCTAGGTTGGACCCAGCTGGGCTAGGCCGCTGGGGGGGTGGAGCCGTGATGCCAGCCAGCGTGTAGGCGTTGCTGTGCCGGCCTGTCACGGAGCACAAGCCTGCCAAGGAGCCGGAGCGCTGTGCCGCGTGGAGGGTGTCAGGGGTGGTATTGTCGGCGCACAAATGCTCAACTTTATGTACTTTTAACTAGAGGTGTAACAGATGGCCCCGTTTCTGTCCAAGCCAGGGAGACTGGTGCCCATTCCGGCTGCAGCCAATCAATCCCGCCACTCTGGGGGGAGCTACAAGCTGGGCTGGGAGGCCTGGAGCCAGCAATCGCGCAAGGCTGTCTGCTCGGGCTGGCCCAGTCCTGCCTCTGCCAGCCGCTCAGCCGTGGGCCTGGGGAGGTAGGAGGGCAGGAGAGTGGCAGCCATGCCTGGGAGCCCAGTCAGAGGCCTGTCTGGGAGAGA